GATCTAATCTGAGGCAGGTGTCCATTTAGGGAAAGAAAATTGACTGGGTTTGTCCTTATTTTCTACCTCCAATTTGAGTGATTCCATACTTTTTTCCTCAGAATTGAGTGATTCCATACTTTTTTCCTCAGAATTGAGTGATTCCATATTTTTTCCTCAGAATTGAGTGATTCCATATTTTTTCCCTGTGCTTGGTCAAGAAAAGTWACATTCACTGACTTCCACAATGTTTTCTCTTGTTTCTTTGAGTGTTCCTGAAAGCCAACAAGTTGCACTTTGGAATGACATTATTATTGTATCATGTTTTTGATGTGAGTTTGTTTTACAGAATGAAATGTCTGAATGAGTRCTCATCCAAGACTGGTGATTCCATACTTTTTGCCAGGGGTTGTATCATTGTACATTGATACTGATATCAAATATATGTACCGGTAATGCCTCACCATTTGGGCTGGCTAGTCTCTTTTACACCCTGCTCCTTCAATTAAAAACCAAACAAACAACACATTTTGACCTGTCGGACCACACATTCGTTTTTTTTTTTTTTTGTTTGTTTGTTTTTTTTACTTTACCCAAGTGGGAGGTTAGGTCCATTGAAAGTCAAAGTCTTAAAATCTGATATGTGTTGTTTTTAGTAGTTCAAAAATGATTTACTTTTATGTTCACATATTTCATAGTGCCTGTCCAAATACAATTGCATGCAAGTGACTTGGACTAAAATATTCAGTGCCAATAGTAAAGTAAAATAAACAAAGTCACAGCAGCTACATTACAGAGCAGCAGCAAGTAGCAGGRTAGTCATCAGTGTGAACTTTGAACTCATTTCCGTAAACAAAGTAAATGTGTGTTTTCCCTTTCCACGAGTAGGTGACCCTTGTGACCGGGATCAGCTCTATGGTTTGACGCTGCAGACAAGAAAACGAAAATGAGCACTGAACATAAGAAAACAATTTTTGATCAACACCGTAAAGTTTTATGATAGTAAAATAGCCCAAAAACCTGTTGCAGAATGCGTGATGACTGGGAGTATTTGCCCTGATGATCACTGACAAGGCGCTGTGAAGCCTGCATGATTTCAGGGTCTGGAAAACCAATCACTGGATACACCTGCAAAAAGTCAGTCACAGAAATGTRAGCCAAATGACAGTCAGTGTTTAAATTGGATTTATTTACTTACACTTAATTTATTATGAGTGAAGAAATACAGTCATTAACTCAGACAGGTCAGTTAAAGTGGAAATATATCAGCTGCTTCCTTCAGTGTCAAACTGAATGCATGTGAGCGCTTACTTGTGGTCTTTGTTGGGTATTAGGCACTAGGGGTGTAACAATACATTGATCTACATCAATATGCCGATTAAGTGATTAAATTACATAGAGGCAAAATGAAAACATCGATCCATATCATCATCATATGCCTAGTGTGGATGGATATAATTTGCCCATCTAATTAATAAATGATTGACTTGTGAATTAAATCGAAATTGTATCATGACAGGCTTTGTGATAGAGAAGTATCGTGTCATCCAAACAAATCTACATGATACTGTATCGTAAGCTGGTAATTTACACCCCTATTAGGTGCTGATGTTTTTAAATTACTGAAACCTCAATAAACAAGGTGTTCCATGGGACTTTCTCACAAATGTTTAATACTAGTTTGGCCAGTTTTTGTTGTCAGAAATTTTGTAATTAGTTTTTTTTTTTGTATGTTTTCCTATCAAAATTGCCGGATCAGTGGTGTCTCAGTGTTGCCAGGTCAGTCAGTGCTCGAGCTTCCTGTGTTGGTGCTCGATTTAAAGTTTATGTTGACCCCTTTTATGAGTATTAAAATCAGCCAAAAAATATATAATCAATGAAAAAAAACTGCATCAGTCAGTCATACGGACTGAACAATACAGAGTTGTTTTCATTTTTATTTTGCAACTTATACATGCATTTTACAAAACATCAGACTTGACTTTCTTCCTTTTAAAAAAATCAAATACATCTCTTGGACGAGAGACAAAACGTTTCACTAAAGAAGAACCCATCCAGAGGACCTACTTTTTTTTTTTTTATCAGACTTGCAGTTTAAGTCACCAATGAAAGAAGTCTTCAAAGAAAAAATAAACTGTTTACCATGTACTGAGAGTCTCTGAACAACTCTTTCCCAGACACCTTGCTGAGGTTGTCCAACCGAAGTCCACTTGACTGTTCCACAACATAATCCTCGGCGTTATTAGTCCTACAAGCATATACATGAAAATGACAGCAGACAAAGTCATTAATTATAAAATATCACCATGAATGTTTAATACTCTCAGTTCATAAAGAAAGACTGTTTTGTTGACTACTTTTTGTCCGAAATTTAAAGAAATTGTACCATTTCACAGTGAGGTTGATGTAAACCAGGAGCTGCTGTTTTCCACGACATGTGTCACAAATCGTTGATCCTTGTCCACCACAGAGAGTGCATCTGTGACAGAGATCATTTCAAACCAAATAGTTAATAAAATAAACAAGTTGCAATACATTTACATTTTTGTTTTCACTTTCTTTAAAAAATCAAATACGTACTTATCTCTCCCTCTACCAAAGCAGTGGTTACATTGGTCAGTCCCAAACCGCAAACCAGACCCATTGCACACCCAACAAACTTTCTGTAAGGGAAATAAAATCAAGCAAATGACATTATAACATTATTCGAAAGGATGTCTTTCAATAACCTTTATTTTTAAATCCTGTGGAAAATACTTACATTACCAACACCTGAACAGTCTTTGCAAGGTTTTCTTCCCATTCCCAAACAGTTGTGGCAGGGCTGCAGGTAAATTATTCTCTTAAAGAAATTGAAGTTTATTCTTCCCCCTCAAATACAACTTACACAACTTACCTTAACAGATGATGTGTAGGGAACTTTGATTTGTTGTTTGCTGTCCATAAAGAAATTAGGTGCATTTGCAGGAATTTCCCAGGGCCCTGGAGGTCTCTGGATCATGGCATCTACGGACTGACCTGATTCAGAAAAAAATAAAAATAAAAACTCATAATGATGAGAAATTACATCAAAAGCTCCACAGTAACAAGCCTGAATGACTCTCAGCCCATAGCTTCACCCTGATAGTTATCAAGTGCTTTGAGAGACTGGTCAGGACATACATCAAGAACAGCATCAACGTCACTGCGGAGCCACATCAGTATTGAAAGAAAAAAAAAAACAATCCACAAAACATGCCATCTCGTCTGTGGTTCACGCGGCTCTCACCACGAGAGCAAGGACCCATGTGTCTGCCTGATTGTGGACGTCACATCTAAATTACCAGAACTGCCAGACCTAACGTGTAGGCGGCTGTGGCTGAATGGTTAGTGGAGTCTTCCTCTAATGAAGAATATAAACCAACCTTAAAATTAACAAACACTGAAATAACACCGTGTTCCTACACTTTCGACCGTCCATCCATCCATCCATCCATTTTCTTCCGCCTATCTGGGGTCGGGTCGCGGGGGCAGCAGCTTCAGAAGGGAGGCCCAGACCTCCCTCTCCCCAGCCACTTCTTCCAGCTCCTCCGGGGGAACTCCAAGGCGTTCCCAGGCCAGCCGAGAGACATAGTCCCTCCAGCGTGTCCTGGGTCTTCCTCGGGGCCTCCTCCCGGTGGGACGTGCCCGGAACACCTCACCAGGGAGGCGTCCAGGAGGCATCCTTACCAGATGCCGGAGCCACCTCAACTGGCTCCTCTCGACGTGGAGGAGCAGCGGCTCTACTCTGAGTCCCTCCCGGATGACCGAGCAAGGCATTCAATAATTTCGAGATTTTTGAAAGTTTCTAATAAAAATGTATCGCTAACCGACCAATTTTTCCTTCCTGACATTAGCATCTAGCCTGGGGGAAATACATCAGGTTGATACAGGGTGCACATTTGCAGTCATGTCACTTTTCCATAACCAGAATAACATGATCAGAATAAGTGTTTACAGACTGTCAACAGGCATAAACCCTCTCATTTACAAATTATTTCCGATCAAGCTGAATCAGAGCAGAATATAGTTTACAAGATGCATTTTTATTCCGATTCCTTATGTCCATGTAAACATAGCTAATGACAATAAACTACTGAACTGAACTGAACTGCCTCTAACATCATTATACCACAGATCCTGGTCCACAAACTGTCAACACTCAAGCTGAGCTCCTTCCTTTACAAATGGACGCTGGACTTCCTGAGGAACAGGCTACAGTTGATGAGGTCCTCCGCAACCGATCATCCTCAACACTGTGTCCCCTCAGGGCTGTGTGCTGAGCCCCCTCCTGTTCACCCTGCTCATACCACAATATGACAACAGAACCGTCATGCTGTCAAGTTTGGAGATGACACAGCTGTGTATGGCTGCAGGCAGAGGGTGGGACATCTGGAGGGTTGCTGCAAAGTCAATATTATTTGCATTGTGCTTCAGGAAGGGCAGACACCAAGCAAATAATATTGTGCTTCAGGAAGGGCAGACACCAACCCTCCCTACATATGATTACATAGGGAGGCTCGGTGTCTGCCCTTCCTAAAGTACAATATTATTTGCATTGTGCTTCAGGAAGGGCAGACACCAAGCCTCCCTATGTAATCATATGTATTTAAATGCACAACCCAGAAAGATTTTACATCCCAACACCTGAGCAGTAAAAGAAAAGGTTGCAGCTTCAGAATTTTACAATGTTGTTGTATTTTGATGCTTAATATCCTAAATTGACTACAACGATAATTTGAGTTTTGTACCAATGGGCAGAAGAAGCAAGCAGTAAAGATAACATACCAGTGTATGGCTCCTGACTCCACTCTGTAGACCTCGATTCAGTGAAGGATTCCAGACGGTACTAAAATAAAACAAAAGGTGGAGAAAACAAGAAAATCTTCTTTTACCGTTTACAGGTAAAACAGACTTTCTTAAATAAGTCAAAATCCAGTGGGAAACCTCTGTTAAATGTCATTTTCATTATTTCTCACTGGTGCTTCATCACAGCTTCACACACAGTAGAATAAACCATTACCCTGTATGTGTTGAATGCTTCCATGTTCATTATCACGCCGTCCTTCGCTGGTGCTGAACTGTAGCAGCATTTACTGGAGGCGTACAGGCTGAAGGCATCCCGAGCCGTTTCTTCAGAGATAGATGGGATGCTGCCAGCAGGGAAGCAAGTGTTTTACAGTGTGTCACACAATGACATCTTTGGAAAGTGCCATAATGCTGAATCACTTAAATGGCTTTAACAATATTTAATGTTTAGTAATATTCTCAGCCATCATGTTTAAAGGAAGAACAGAATGAGGATTACTTCCAGTGGGGTTGTCCAGATCCAGGTAAGGGCTGGGGAGCTGGGGAAGCAGGCATAGGAGGTGGCAGAAATCCACCTAGAACAGATGATAAGTATTTGTGTTGTAGKTTTTTTTTTTACTTTTTCAACTGAAGCTGACTATATTACTTTAATAAATGACATTGTAAGGAACATGTTAATTTAACTATAGAGTCAAAGTGATCATTTGATGTATTCTAGATAATATGTGGCAAGAATATTGTTGTAAACATACTTCAGTTTATTGATACAATTGTTAACACCACTCAAAAAACTGAACATTTTACCTTTCCGTTTCAGTGAAATCTACTTTATTCTTTTATTTCAGAGATAATTATTCCATGCAAACTCATTTTTTCCCCTAGATTTTCATATTTTAGTACATTTTATTTGAATAATAAAAACTCAGGGGGGAAAATAATTTGGGGTAAAATGGATTCTGACAAAGAATAAAACTACACTAGGTTAATTTGCATTTATTTAGATCATAATCATGTTTTAACTCAATAGATTACTGAGTACTGTAAAATGTAACAAAATAAAACAGAGATAACCTCTCTAGAAATAAGACTTCATTGCAGCAGCTTCAAGTAGTACAAAGATCAAGAGTCATCATGAAATAGATTAATTGAACAAATAAGGGAAACAGAAAATATGAAAGAATAAAACTAGACAAGTTATGAAGTTATATACATAAAGAAAAAAATACAAATGAACAAGTTTTTTTTTTCACATTACTGCACAACAGAGGGTTATTGAATCAGTCTGATGCCCATTGGTAGGAATGATATTACTGTGTCACTCTAGTTTTGCACAATACTTTAAAAGTCAAAACGTAGTTGACTAGGTTTTGTGGAGTTTTCCCACATTATACCACTTCCTGTTTCGTAATGGAAGTTATTCATTTCTGCTACATGTGTGGAAACAATAAGCAAGTCCAAAACTGAAACCTTTTTTTAAACAAACCACATAAACGAATTTTGTTTTAATAAAAGAAAATCAAACAAATGAATTCACTCACTGGAAGTATTTTTAACAAAAATTATGCAGCATGTTGTTGTTTTATGTGTCCCCATTTACTCGAATCACCCATCTCTTACTGCTGTAATTCTGAGTGTTTTATGTGCTGCAGAACATGAACCTGCTGTAAAACAGCAACTATGCTGAGCCAGGCTTGATTTTTAATAATCTTTTCCTGTTAAATAAATAAATCAAATCAAATCAAATTACTGCCACATGCTGTGACTCGTTAATCAACTGCAATGGCCAATCAGGTTCCAGGGGTGACAAGTGCCACTCTGGCCACCCCTCTGTCTCTGGGCCCTGAATATCAGAACTCAAAAACTAGTAATAACTTTAGTTTCCCACTAAAACAATCCATCATTGTATCGCAGAAATAAAATTAAACATGTCAACCTTGCCAATTTTTGATTAAACGTACTCAGTCAGCTTAGATTTTATATCTGTTTTTATTTGCTTGAATTTGATATGTAATACTTTGCTTATTTCATTTGTTTTTACATCGAGTTTCACCACTAAAAGTACGATTTTTGTAACCAAGTTGTCATAATGTATTACAAAACTATTCTTTCGTAAACTATATTTATTTCAGAATACAACACTTCACAATAATAATAATAATAATAATAATAATAATGATGATAATAATAATAATAATCACAAAAATACATTTTATCTACTCGTATCACAAGTTCATTCATTCTTTACTCATATGCTAAGTGAATGAATTGTAAACACTTTGGAAAGTGTACTGAGAAAGGTGTGTGTCCTACTGTACCTCCCCCTCCAGCTATTGTTCCTTCATATCCGGGCAGGATGTCAAACATGTTGGCCGGAGGAGCGCTGGGGCCCTGGGACTCGTATGTAGGTGGGGCAAGCATTGCTAAATCAAAACAGGCAGAACCAGTTTGAAACATCGAACAGACAAATACAGGCAACAAAAATCCAACAAATCTCAAGAACTTTTTTTAGGCGTTACGACACCCCACTACAACTGTAAAGCAAACCCAGGTGAAGAGACTCTACAGTCAGTTGTCCTCCAAAAGAAAAAATTACATTCAGCAGATTATTTAGACTCAGATGATGGAATTTAGATTTTTTTTTCTCCCAAAATTTGCTTCATATTTCTACTTAACGTCCTGAAACAGAAACTTACCCTGCCCCTCCGCATTGGTATCCATCCTGAAACTTTATATTGCCAAATTTTATCTCTAGCCAGATGTTTGACTGCTCTTCAACAAATGTCCCTACGCTTGTTACGTACACTCACTCTACAGCGCTCGTGAACGCGCACGTCGTCGTGACGACGCTACCCCACCCGAAGCAAACGAAGTAAAAAAAAAAAAAAAAAAAAAAAAAAAAAAAAAAAAAAAAAAAAAAAAAAA